TGTTCAAGGTTCCTGAGTAAACTGCTTAAGGAAGAGTCTCAGCGTTGCGTCTTCCTTGCTGGTCGAGGTGGTCGCGACACTGGGGGTGTAGAATCTATTTCTGAGACCAACCACCCAATGCTGAGGCCCTTGCCCATTTGACTAAAGAGCTCTTTACATATCATTCTCTTTCCAGAGCCTGGTTTGGAAGTGCTCACAGGCAATCTTGAGGTATGCCCACGGACACTGCTGAGGAACTTACACTGCTGAAGTACACCTACAGACATAGCTGAGGTACACCCACAGACGCTGCCTAGGTACTTACTCTCCTGGATGCTGCTAAGGAACACCTGCAGATGCTGCTGAGGTATACCCACAGAGGAAGGGCTTTTTCCTTCACCTTGCTGAGGAGGCTTCTCTCCTAGGGGAGCCAACAAGAATGCCTTCAAATAGAACAACTATTCTTACCAGGTTGGTTTTTTATTTTGAGACAGGGTTTCTCTGTACTGCTTTGGAGCCTTTCCTAGAACTCGCTCTGTAGACCAGGCTGGCCTCAAACTCACAGAGATTCACCTGCCTCTGCCTCCTGAGTGCTGGGATTAAAGGCGTGCACCCCCAACACCAGGCCCCACCAGGTTTTGATAGCTGTTACAGAAATTCTTCCTTAAATTGATCAAAAACGTTCATATCCAATAAATGCACTTGTGGGCCTATGGGTGTAGCAGCCAGTCCTGGCCGCCCATCCCAATTCTCTGGAGTTTCTTTTCTTATTTGTTCAGTAACTTAGTGATTGTCATACTATACCTTCAAGGGGGCTGTCTTTTGAAGGGCATGCTTTAATTAAGTTTATTGAGGTTCATGACCAATCAGTGTCTCTTTCTTTTAACTTTTTGAGACAGGGTCTTTTTTTATGGTCCAGGCTGATCTGGGACTCACTCTCACTATATGGCCAGGGCTGACCTCAAAGTAGTGATCCCCAATCCCCTCACATGCTAGGATTATACATACAAACCAACAAGCCTGAGCCATATTGTTGCCCTCCGCTCCTTCCCTCTCATACAAGACATGAAAGCCAAAAACTTGGGCATGTTAGATAAATGCTTCTCCATGAAGCCACACCCTTTCCCCTATTTATCTTTTACCTGGATCTCCCAATAGACCACCAAAAAGGATGGAAGGAACCATCCTGCCATGCTGAACTCTTTTCCTCCTCTGTGTGCTAACCATAGGCAACTCACCTTTAGCTGTCATAGTCAAATATTACTGAGAATCTCCCCAGTCCTGTGTGATTTCTTTATTGTGTGGGTGAGTGCCCAGCCAAAAAATGCCAAAAATATACTTCAAAATACAATTACTATTTAGTTGAATCTTCCCATTTCACAGATTAGGAAAATGAGGTTCAAATAATTTTAACGAGTGCCCCTAAATTCAGACTGGACTTGAAAAGTTAGTAACAGAGAATTTTGGGTGAAGGTAGTTCAAATGTGTCTGCTATGTTGAAGAGGTTATGATCATGAATACAAGATGTTTCCTGACATTTATTTTAAACACATGTCTATAGTCAGGTTTTACACTTAACTGGCATTTGCTCACATTCCTAAGAAAGTATATAAACTGCCAGGAAATGAAAGCTTTGCTTCATCCTTTGATAGAAATGGAATCTTGGAGAAAAGGGGGTATTTGAAGTTCCTCACTCATGCTTAAGAACTGGCTAGTCCCTGTTCATTTTTATTGAGTGTTAAGCTGGCTATGAGGCTGTGTCTTAAAAACAATGCCGGAGGTATCGCCTATCCCCCTAAGCTGCCTGTTGATGGTGTAATAAGGAAGGCCTTGACCATCATTGGAGTAAAGACCACACAGGGTTCCCCCCCTGCCAAGACAATAATATGCTTTGGGCTTTCCCACCGTTATCCATAAGAAGATATTTGTTTTTTTACCATAAGCATTAGATATTCTGGTGGTTAGGATTGTATTTTAGATCTTTTTATTTTTAGTAGAGGCTAAATTATTGTGTGACTACATCTTAAAATATAGCCAGATGATGTCTATTGTATATTTGACTTCACCAAACTAAATTCCAATTTCCCATAAGGACACACTTTTCCCATCCAAGTATTAGCCAGGATCGACCCTGCTTAGCTTCCAAGATTAGAAGAACAACAGAGTTCTCAGTTGAGAATGACTTTGGCCTCCAGGAACAGTTAGACATTTCTGGAAACAGTTTTCAGTTGTTACCACTGCTGCAGGGGAGAGGACTCTGCTGTCATGGAGTGGATAGATAGAGGGTCTGCTGAATACCACTGTCTGATGACACACCAGACATCTTCCACAGAAAGGCATGTCTCCCAATGCCTACAGGGTTGGAGCTGGAGCCCTGCTCCATAGAAATGATAGGGCAGTCTGATGAATAGCTTTAGAATTTCTCAGGGGGGGCTGTGAAACCCACATAACCCTAAACTAGTCTTACATGGGAGCCAGAGTGTGATAGAGTGAAA